TTTCTGGCCGTTGACACTGGACAATAAATACTGTGACCTTGACTTTAACCTCCTATTTCATTGCAACCATTAAAGGCTGCTTGGCTCTGCTGTAGCTAATAACTGTCTCTACTTATACACAGCTACACCCATCTCAACACCGTGCTAAAAACACCTGGACTATTTAAATTGACTGCTGCTTTTTCTAAACTCAACTGTATAAACACACACCAATAGAGCGGCAGCACACGCCACTTGCTCCCTCAGAGCTAAGGTTTCACTGCCTGACGCTTCTCCTATAATAGAAAGTGCTTTAATTAACCCTAATCTGATGGAAATGTAACATGTTGAGCCGGGCCACTCAATTTAGATGTGGGAGGAGAGAAGACATACTTGAAAAATAACTCTTTGTTGTTGTTTGAACTGGTTTGAACGATGTGCAAAAACAATGATTCATAAATCCATTAAATGTCACTCACGCTCGGCCTCTTCCAGGTCAGTCCCGGCGGGGTCTCCCTCTTGTAGAAGAGGGACTGGGCAGTTGTGGGGAACAGGGGATCTTTGAAGAGGGCACCTCGACGCAAGCAGTCCCGCCTCAGCTTGTGAAAGCTTTGTCCCTGGAAACAGTTTACTCGACTGGTCATTGTGGAGAGGAGAGACTTCAGGGAAGGTGGAGAGAAGAAGAGAAATGGGACGGATTATTAGTTCATATGGAAATAGATGGTGGAATTAAAATTAATAACAAGGGAGCAACAGAGGTTCATCTGTCATGCAGCTATAATAGATTTAAATGTTTAATCTCCTATTCAAATATCTTTCACTGGCATAGTTCAGCTTTACTGAATGGGAAAGGCATTTGTGTGTTTTTGTCTGCCTGTACACACAAACTCAGAGATCATGAGAAGTAATTTTGTTTTGACCGATCAGACAACCTTCACGCAACTGTTGGTACTATGGCCAACACTGCAGTCTACAAAACGTCTTTTGTCAGTGAGAATACTATTTTAATACTCAAAATCTAAACACTGACTGTCTTTGTTTACATAGTTTCTCAGAACAGTAAGTTGTTTCTGCTAGTAATATACTAGTGTGTAACATGTTAATGCTGACTAATGATAGTCAGTAACATAGCAGGTGCACACTGACTAATATTAAGAAGTAATGTGTATGATATAGCTTTTAAAATAAAATGTGTTGTTTTTGGTAACTTATGTGTTAGAGATGTGACACCCTGCACCAAACCTGCAACAGTTTCCCCCCCCGTTGAATTAGCAAATAATTCTATGAATAAATAATATTTGTTAGATAACACTTCAAGGATGACCAGCATTCAATTTTTGTGTTTGTGTACAAACGGCTGTGGACTAAAGGGTTACATATTTCCTGGCAGAGGTAGCAGGGTGTCCTGCAGGGTCAGTGTGTGTGTGTGTGTGTGTGTGTGTGTGTGTGTGTGTGTGTGTTGGGGGATAGGGTTAGGGAAGCAGTAAGGTAATAGTACCGTTTTAGTCATCTGTGATATGAACTGCTGGGGTCCCTAAGTCAGCAGCGTATGTGTATGTGAGCATCAACTGGTGTGCCTGTGTGTGTGTGTGTGTGTGTGTGAAGCAGTGTGATTCTGTGTCAGCGAGAGTATGCCAGGAGGTTCAGTGTGTGTGTGTGTTCATGGTAGGGTCAGCTCAGGGCTTTGCTGTGCAGAGAGGACTAACAGAGATGAAACCTTGCAGGTGCTTGGGTTTGCAGATACCGCGCAGGTCAGTGTCATCAATTATCAGCGAGGTTTTGTTTTTCTTGTATCAAATTTATGCAGATACACACATGAAGAGGAGGAAAACACATGGAGTGAACACTTATTCGCGATCCATGGTTAACAGATGCATAACAAATTCATAACTTGTTGTGTTTTAATGAATGCAGCAACCAAATGTAGATGCTGACCTCCTGTGGCTCTATTAGATCATGGGGTCACTTAAAACAGACCATCAATTATGAAGGATTAGTCTAATGTTAACTAATATGTCATTTTAATTTGTATCTCAAGAAATTACAAAAATGTCTTTTATTGGATGTTTTTTGGATTTGTTGGTTTAAATTCAAGTTCAATTTCAGCAAACATGCATATGCATGATATTGCAAAGACACTTGTATATTCTGTCTTCGCCAATCTGCTGCCACCTTAACATCACTTTTAAAAAAAGATTTTATCCACTTGAAGCTAATTTCTTAATTAATTTAATGTTTAACTGCGAGTCAGTTGTAAGTTGACTGTACTGTACATTCACAACTATAATTAAAGAGATGTTTTCTTATAAATGAAAAATAAGCTGTGTATGTTTCTTGAATAATGATAACTTATGTTAAATATATGAAAATGAGCTTTATGATTCAAGTTTTACTCCAGCATGTACAAACTGATCTAAGCATCCCCCGACAAGAAAACATTTAGATATATTATTGTCTTGTCACTCTGTTTATTAAAAGTGTTCCAGTCCTGTGTGATTTGACCTCATTCTATAGTCTTTTTAAGCCACACGAATCCAAAAAGTCATTATTAGGTACCATCGCAGTGTGATATGTCACCGATCATAAAGTTCATTCAGAGCGAGCTGTATACCCTTTTTGTTACCAGTTTAAACTGCAGGTAAATTCTTTTACCTTAAAGTCAGACTGAAGGTTTTTCCACTTGCTTTCCTGAGATGAAACTATTCCTGGAGTTCATGCAGTGGAGGATCATGTCCTCCTTTGGTCACTTATGAAATCCTAATTCTTCAGACACAATCACACATGCTCTGTTGTGACAAAACAGCCAGCATGTGTCACCTCCTCTCCTCTTGTTCTTCTTTGTCCCATCTGATGAACACTGACTGACACGATCTTCTTGTGTCCTGTGAATCTGTCAGGACTGTTTGAGTCATCTCTACCAGCTACTTAACTCAGTCTTATGTTAGAGATTTGTTTCACTGGACCTGGAGGCAAGAAATAAATTATATCAGAAAAAAAATGTAAGTGAGTAAAATGCAAGACATTAAAACCGGTGCGGGATAAAAGTATAACTTGATGTGAGCGCTGCAAGTTCCCTGACACCATCTGGTGTGACCGTGTATCCTCTAAGTGTGTGTGTGTGTGTGTCTATGTACATACAGCCGTGACACACAGAGCAGGGTGACACCGTTGTGTAACTTTATCTCCCTCCACACAGACAATAGACAGACAGCCACCTCGCCTAGTGACACAAAACACAGTAATAGCTGTGGAAGCTCCCCACCATTAAAATACCACAGTTACTGCAGTTGCTGCTGAGTTTCAGACACATAAGATGAACACTTGATACTCTGCCGGCTGCTGTTCTGCTGCTGGAGAACATAAACAAATGTGTTTTCTAGGAGTGTATGTGTGTGTCACTCACTGCTGTGTGTGCTCCTCTGGATAGTTTCCTTCTCCTCCCCCTCGTGTATCACCACATTTCTTTCCTGTCCTACGGTCTCCCTCTCCTCTCCTTTTCTGTCTTATCTTAATGGTCTCTTCTCCTCTTCCCCTCCTCTCCTCTCTATCTTCTCCCTCACACACTCCTGGAGTATCTGTTGCTGTCGAGTGTGTTGCCCCTGACACCTGAGAAACCGAGAGGCAAGCGCCTTCCTTTTTAACCACCTCACTGCCAAATATCTGGCTAATTATCCCCCATTCCTGTGTGATCAACCTGAAGCAACAACTGAGTGCTGATAAGCCTGTTTCAGCTAAATGAATACAATGGCTGCAAGGATTAATATTAAATAACTGATAAAATAATGGGTTTGTTTTTTTTATTTCATGCCTTTTTGAGAAACACATCCAGGGACAAAGAAGCCAAATTCAACACCTCTGAAAAGCTGTTGACATTGCAACATGTGAATAAAGGTAAAAAGCACAATGATGTCCAGTATGGCTCTGCTGTTTTTATATTCCTATAGTCCACCTCTGATCAGTTTAGTCTCCCCATATAAAATATGGGAATATTTCAAAAAAAAAATTTATTGTTGATAAATTAATGAATTTATGAATGAATGAAGTCAGGAACTTCTTGCCAAAGGTGACCGTCCCAAAACATTTTATATATTTTTGTAAGTAAAGAGGTTGATTACTTGCATAATACCTATCTGCATACCTCAATGCAGCATCCTTTCCCTTTCCTCTGTGTAAGACAAAACATATAAGACATAATTTATTTGTCAGATATTTTGCCAAACAAACTGAAACTATGTGTGCTTCAAAATCCCAATGAGCTACATAGTGTAATTCACATTATACATACCACCTATACTAAGTAATGCATAACCATATTTTTATATTTATCAAGCAGCAACATTATTACATTTAATGTTGTGTAGCCTATATAATATATTAGTACACGTTGGAAAGTATATAACATTTTATATAACAGCTATACATGTATTTCTACATAACTAGGTTATTATATGTATACAAAACAAATAATTCTGCTAAATATTAGCAACTATTTCCTACTTGAAAAACAGATTGGGATGAATATCTTCATATATAAACCATGTACACATTATGTAGGCTAATTTATATGTGCGGAAGAGGATTAGGGCCACGTGTGAATTTTTTTTTTTAATTCTGAGATTAAAGTCAGAATTCTGAGTTTAATCTCAGAATTAAAAAAAAAAATTCACACGTGGCCCTAATCTTCTTCCGCATATATGCGTTCATACATGGCCATTTATTAGCTTTTTTAAACCCTAAACTATGAACGCAGTAAATGTTTATTTATGTGTTATATTACTGAGAACAGGATAGCAACCAAACATGTAGGGCCTACACCTAAAACATAAACAGGTAGGCTATATGTTCAGAATTAAAAAATAATATCCATGAAATAAGTGTAATGACTTTTAGAAGAATATTGAGTAATAAATTACTACTTTTCTTATGAAGTGCTAAAGCCGTTTTCTTCTGTCGACAATCTTCCCTGAAGTCCGACCATCAGGCATCTACTAGTCTGGTCTTCTTCAATACGCGTGCGCAGTTGCAAGTCGCCTTCAAACATGCCGATGTGGCTGCTGTGATCTGAACCTTCAGTTTCTCCTGCAGGTTTGAAGAACAAACTGTAGCAATGAAACTTTTTATACTGGTTCTGTTTTGTGTCTGCGGGTGTTTTGCAGCACAGGAAGACGAGAGGCTGCCGAATAAATGCGAAGGTTGGACGAAGAAGTAGCACCAGTTTTCAGTTATGATGCTATTAATGTGACGGTGTGGCATGTGTTTTTACATATGTTTGTGTCCTCGAGTGTCTGCCCAAACTCTTTGACATGTACATGAAAAGGAACTAGTTAATCAGGTTTTCTTCCTGTATTTCTCTTGGCTGTCAGTGTGTAAGTTTCTGACAGTAGAGCTGCAGGATGCTCTGGAGAAAACTGGTCGCTCCAAAGAAGTCCTGGAGGTTGGAGAGGTGCTGGACACAGGCAAGAGAAGGAGAAAGATAAAATACAACACCTCGTAAGTTAACTCTGGGGGATATCACTTTAATATCAAGATAACATACTTTGGAGTCGAGAAATTATTAATAAATGCTGCTTCACAATTGATCTTTCTTTAAATGCAGCCAATTCACATCAGGGAAGTTATTTTTTCAGACTTAATAAAGCTTCTCCAGCGTCACAAAATATATATAAAAATTTATTTCATCTCCTGAGTACCGATTACCGATGAGCTTTAGGTTTAATCTTAAAAAAGCCTGCAACTCTGTCTTATGTGTGTGCGTCCAGCCTTTAAACCTTTTTTCTGATTTGCAGGGAAACTCGGCTGACTGAGGCGGTAGACGACCTTTGTGAACGCATCCTGCAGTATAATGTTCATGCAGAGAGGCCTGGTAGCCTCCGATATGCCAAGGTAAAGCTGTTGACATGTTGCCCATCCAGTATGTTCCACATTAGAAGACAAATCTAACACTAAACTGTGCTCAATTTTTGTGCTCTTGCAAACATTTTTAATTTGTGCAGCTAACAGCTGTCTGGTTTGTGTGTATTGCAGGGCGCCAGTCAGACCATGACGACTTTGAAGAACCTGGTCCACAAAGGGGTGAAAGTGGACTTGGGTCTTCCTTATGAGCTGTGGGACGAACCCTCTGTGGAGGTGTCGGACATGAAGAAACAGGTAGGAGGATGTGTGCGTGTGTCTGTCTGTCCGCTGTAACTGTTGAAACACATTAAACATTTAAGTGTTTTAATTTCAAAAGGTTGTGTGCAAATGTTTTCATGTACATGCTGTCGAGTGAGAAAGAAAACAAGTTTATAGATGATGACTTGTTTATTTTACAACCCCTCAGTATAACCTAAATGATTAATTTATTATGTTTTTTTAACTGATTCAGTCATTGAATCCAGAAAAAACACCTTGTTAATGTTACATAACAAATGTGTATATTTATGTACCTACTTTTGACCACCTAAACACGTGTGTGCGTGTTGTTCAGTGTGAGACGATGCTGGAGCAGTATGAGGAGGTTGTGGAGGACTGGTACTTCCATCATCAGGACCAGAGGCTAGAGAAGTTCCTCTGTGTGAACCACGTCCTCAAGACATCGGAGCAAGGTAGGTAACCCAAAGAAAGGAAGTTGTCTAATGTTTTCTGGCCACATATGCTTTTAAGACATTTGGATTGTAATGTCAAACATTTCCGTTCCCAATTTGTCAAACAACTAAAAAAAAAAATAGGGGTATTAACTTTCATGATCATGAACTTTATGTGTACAGCGCCTTCCTCAAAGACCACTTTTCCAATCCCAAGTTAGAAAGACTGCATAAAAACAGAATAATGACAGAAAACCCACAGTTAAATATGAAAAAAAACTAACTTATCATAGAAAAAATTGTCATCATTTTAAAAGGCTAATAAATAAGTGTTTAAAATTTTAAAACATGTTCACATAGACACATAAACTCACTGAAATCTAAACATTAAAAGTAAACTCTGCTTTCTGCAGGAAATAAACTATGGAGCTCAAACCTGTTCTTGTGTGTTCTTTGTTTTTTCTCCCCCTCCCTCAGAATGTATAAAGGAGGTGTGGAAAGGAGACATGGGAACCAAAGGAGGGGCCAAGGAGGCAGAAAGTGACAGCACAGAAGCAGAGGTAGCCAATGAGAAGGAGAAGGAGGGAAAGACTCATGACGCTGGGGAGCTTTGAGGAAAACACTGCAAAGAATGATGTATTGTGACACTATTTTATTTCTGGTGCCAAATCTTCTGGTTTATGTCAGGAGTTATAATATTGTGAAATGATGCTTTATAGACACTACATTTCTCCTGTTATTTTTATATGAATGTTGTTAGCCTTTTAAGAACTGCACCTTTTTACACACTCAGCTATATTATGTGCTGTTACTTCTCTCCTTATGCCCACAGTATATGGTACATATCAGTATTATTTTTTCTGACTTTACCCAAATTGAAGTCTTTAAATGGAATATGTAAAAATTTTTCATTGTGAATAAAATACTTTTTTATAACACTTTTGGGTGTTTAGTTTTTTTCTGTATTTTGTCACAGACAAATGTCCTCAAATAATATGAAAGTAAGTTAACGTGTGATTTTTACAGTGTCTCTGCAGGCCACTAATAGAGGAGGATCAGTCTCAGGTGTGTTCCTGCTGACAGAGAAGCTTTCAACCCAACACCACAATGACTCTTATTTCTGTCTACTTGACAGTTTCTCTGTATATTCTGTCTGAATTAAAAACAATTCGGTGCTACACTTATCAAACCAAACCTCTTTTTCTGTCTTTCTCTGACCTGGCCACCCTTGAAGCAAACTCTCTCGATCAGACAAACAGGCCAAACTCTCACTTTTGGAATCCTGTTGGAGATCACAAGGTCAAGATCTTTGTGGTGAAATGTCATGAGGACAGCATTGAGATCCTGATGAAAGCTTATCTGTTTGACCCTCGCCTGGCTGTGGAGCCCAAACATTTCAGACTAGGACCTGTTGGTGCTGCGCAACATCACTGCACAGCCAGAGTGTCTGGAAATGGGGAATACGTCATCAGAGCACGTCTGACTGACTGTGGGAGTGAAGTGATGGTTGGTGAGCCTCTAAATAATGAAAACAGATTGTCAGTTGTGCTGCAGAGCAAGCAACTGTTGATATGAAACTGTGTTATTTGGATCATAGTTGCTTAATGGTGCCATCTAGTGGTTTTATTATGATAATGCTTTGTGCGTCCTGTTGCATGTAGTTCACCCAGAGTGCTGTGCTGTATCACAACCTACTGCTGTACTCTCCTCCTCCAACATCACCTGGAGACCGAGCTGCTATTCAAGTCCAGTGTCAATATGGAAGGTGCGTTTACCCAATTTACACAAAATGGTCTCCAGGGCTTTGTGTGAGTTGCTGATGCTGCGTATAGTTTGTATGACAGCAAGCAAACTTTTCAAACGTAAAGTACAAAGTGCTTAACAGGGAAAGAGTGAGATAGAAGACAAAGGACACTACTTATTGTCTAAATCAAAGAGAAATAAATGTAAAACCCTCAAAATAAAACCTATAAATTCACAAAAAGGCCACAGGAAACATTGATATAGCTTGTCTGAGAGGCTTTTCCAGAGTCTTTAAATATTTTTTCGTTGCTGTAATCACTTCTCCTGCTGTCTATACTGGCCCTGAAGAAATCCCTTAATGTGATTTTAATATACGTGACGGGGGACAAAATGGACTGAAATCCCTGTTCTGAAGACATAAGGGCCTAACAACTATTTAAAGCTGATCATGTAATGCCTTGAATCAAGAGGAAAAAAATAAAAAATAAAAAGCTACATATGGCAGAGAGATGATGGAGAAACCGGTGTAATGTGTGATGCATGTTCAGTTTTCGTTAAGTCTCACTGCAGACTTCTGGACCAGCAGCAAGACAGTGAAGATCAGCTGAAGAAGGTGAACAAGGTGTTATAGTAGTCGAGGAAATGCACCATTATAACCCTAAAACCAAACCTAATTTATTTAGCATTAAATTGCTGTCTAACGCTCGCCACACTACTCCCCTATGCTTTAAAAAGTTATATTTTACTTCCATTACTTTGTGTACTATTAAAAACTGTATTTGGGTCATTTCTACAATCAGTTACAAATTTTCCTCCTGTTTCCCACTTATTTGTGGAATAGAAATGCTCGCTCAAGTGATTATGTTGCCTGGTTGAAACCCCTCCACCTTGCAGGAGTTACACAGTGAGCAGCAGGGCGCTGAAACCAACCTGGAGTCCCCTGATCCCCATCCAGTCAATGCATCTCGACCTGGACTTCCACCTCAGGCTCATGACGAGTGAGTTGGTTTCAACAGTCTCCTAAAATGTCCTGAAATGTAATTGGCCTCATGTCATGGCCTGTAATGTAATGGCTGATTATGATCAGATGGTCTAACCGCAAACATACTGTAGTCAAATTACAAAGACATTTGTTGACCTCTTTTCTCACTGGCAAATAAAAATAACATTTACCTGAATGAACCACATTAAACTGACAAATATTTTGGTTGTGTGTGTCTTATGATTCCTCAGATGACTGGAGCAGTGAGAGAAAGTCATCGGTTTAGTTCCTGGGTGAAACGGTCAACATCGAGGCCTCTGTAGATCACCGCCATCTTCCTCTTTCTCTGTATGTAGGCAGCTGTGTGGCTACTCTGACCCCAGATGTGAATTCTTACCCCAGATACCCCTTCATAGACCACCAGGGGTGAGTCCTTGTATCTTTAATGTCTGGAGTGGTTCCTCTAACTAATTTTCCAAATGAAAACCACTTCCTTTGAACGCATTTTGGTGGCCCACACCACCACACGGCATAAATCCGTCTGGTTTCTGGATCCCATTTTTATATAATGCACCCAAACTGCTGATGTAATGAACGCAGAGGGCAGAAGTTAAATCTGATAAGGATATGTCTGTTCTGTGCAGATGTTTCTCCCAGACTCCCAGCTGCACAGCTCTAGCTCCTGTTTCCTGCCCAGAGTCCAGGACCAACTCCTCCAGATTCAACTCGAACCTTTCCTCTTCCTCCAGGACCACAGACACACTGTCAGCACTGATTTCACATGTATTTATATTTACATCAGTAGTACAGTATAAAGGAAAGTTCCTAAGCATGTATCGTCCTGTCTCCTGCAGATATATATAACATGTTACCTGGAAGCAGAGTCCATTTCAAACAAGGACCCAGTGAAAAAGGCTTGTTCTTTTATAAGTGGGAGGTTAGTTTCATCAGAACTCCTGTTTTAGCCATCCTCTTTCTGTCCACCATTTAAAAAAAATGCTGAAATATAAAAGGTATAGCCACATTTTCTTTTTGTTTTTTTTATCCGCCAGGTGGACGTCAGTGCATGGTGACGACCGCGTCTGTGAGAGCTGCAGCAGGGTTAAAGAGACAAATCACAGCAGCAGAGGCCCCAAGTCCAACCACAAGAGGGCACTAAGAAGCAAAAAAAGTACAGGCAAACTGGTATTACATCTAATACCTGTACTACTATTCAAGCTGTATTTAGTACTGAATACTATGTATATATAACACAAGCAGTATGTGATTAGTTAAATGATCAGCTATTTAAATTCACTTATATTTATTCTTACAGAGCTGCACAGGGAAACCGGTTTGGGTCCAATAATATTTCTCCCATGAAAGCTGACTACAGTGGGAAAACACAAATATTTGTATTGAAGGTATTGAGTTGAATAAAAATGGTGTTTAAGCACCTTTTACGTGCAAGAAAAACCTAATGTAGTCTCGCTTGTTTTGTCTTTATGTGCGGACTCGAGTGGGTGCTTCCTGGCACTATCACCATTTAACAATTTGAACTTTTACCACGATTAAAACACGTCAGGACTGCAATGAGGCAAAAACAAACAACAATAAATAATACAACAATAATATAAGGTAAAAACAAGGTGCTATCACTGCTGGTGCACGGAGAAGAGACAACTGTCACACTGACTCTGCGTTGACAGTGATGATGAGCACAAGTGGAAACCCATCCACCTGACAGAGAAATTCTTCTTAATACTTATTAATAAGCTTTGTTGGAGCTTTTACTTTTTGTTTCATTTGCAGACTAAATCCACAGATGCATTTGAAATATCAATGTGCTTAATACATTTTGTTTAATCCAGCAGTTTAATGAAACTCAACTGGATGTTGCAATGAGATCTATAATTAACAATCAACTGATAAATAGTTTCCAGATGTAATGATAACTGATAAAAAAAATACCTCCAAAAACAAAATCCAGTTTTCAGATATATTTTATGCTTTTTTTTCTCTCTCTTTCTAAAAAAAACAAAAAACACATGTTGAGCCTTTTTTCTCAGATGTTAATGCATTTTGCTGATATCCTGGTTATATATTAAAAAAAGTTTTAGTTTTTCTGTTTGTCTGCAGTTGGATTTTCTTTCATCACGGTAGCTTTCATCTTTGCAAGATGCATTGTAACCCAACTTCACAATCTGCCTGGTGAGACCTTCAACCTTGCATAATAAAACTTTAAATATCAACATCTGTCAATGCCACTCTTTTTAAATGTATTACATGCAACTTCCTTTGATGATAAAACCCACCGTTATAGACACCACTGCACGACAATAAAAACAATGAATGAATGAATGACACAATATTTCTGTCCTATTACTCACAGGCAGGTGAGTGTTGACGTTTGAGGGATTTTGTCACTGTGGAAGCTTCCATTTTTAATCTTTTATTGGACAAAATGTTCAGTTTCCTTTTATTGTAGGAGCTGCATTCCCTCCAATTTGTTTTTCCATTAACTGCAAAACAAAAGGATGAAGGAATGTTTCTGCAATCAGGTTTTTGTGCTAATAATTAATTTGTTATAGTGGATGATGCACCAAAACTTATAGCTACATGTTATCTACAAACAAGTGGTTGCTCCTGGCCAATAAAGGTCTCTGGTGGGCATCTTAGACCATTATCTGCCTGTTGGAATATCTGGATTTATAGCTCGCTAAAAGCTATTCCTCATCTCTATGTTCCCCTTTGAGGACAAGGTGTTGTTATATCATCATAAGCAGAAGGTAAAACACTCTGGACTCTTGACTGTTAATCCTTAAACGCAGCAGGGTGCCTTGCGGTTTATTGGTGTTTTCCTTCACTGCAGAACAACAGTGCGCTCCCCATCTCCCTCCAGCACCTGTCAACACTTCAGAGACAAAGTGAGGGAAACTTGGAAAAACAAAAACAGTGCATTTTAGATTCATGGCAACCAGGATGATTTTCCACTCTACTATTTCTGCCAGCCATGTTTTAGAGCCAAAGCCGTCAGTCAAGGTTGATTGCATTCAAACAAAAAACAAACAAAACAAATCATCATGGTTACCAGCATTAAAACTCCTTTATGTGGTTTTTTGAGGAAGAACAATGCCATGTTGTTTGTTTTTAAGAGGTGATCATCTGGATCAAAGTCGAGGCCTGCTGCAAAGTCCAGGACAGTTTGAAAGCCTGTCCATCATTTCCTTCCTCTCCATACTATACATTATAGTATACACTGGAGAAGGTCAGAGGGGAGGGAACATGATCTGCTTGAAGATGTACTTAGACGAAGAGGGGGGATCCCTGAAATGTACAGAACATGTGAGATACAGTTCACATGTTAATAGCGGATCTTCTTACAGCCTCTGAACATTGATTGATATCACCAAGCCAAACACGCACCATATTGTGCTAATTTCTTTATTCTAATTGTTAAAGTTTAAAGAGGATCGTGCTGTGCTAACGGCATGGAGGAACCATCAGCTCGACAAGTCCGAAGACTAACACAATGAGGCGAAAACTACTGTGGCAGTTATTTCTTTAATTCCCGGGGAATAAATCTGATCTTTCCTTTTGGCATGTTACAATTAAAACATACATACAGGATGACAGTACAGGACACATAATGCAAAATTAGCAATGGTGGACAAAGTCACGCAACAAAGGAGAGGTCATGTGATTTAAAACCTTATACCTAAAACATGAATGTAAATATCCTCAAATTTCTCAAATCTCAGGTGATCGTGTTTCTCCAGTATCCTGCAATGATGATATGGAATTAGATTTTTACCCCTTATTTTGGTTTGCTTGTACAGTTACCCTTGTAGTTTAATGACTGCCCCCAATATGTAGGAAAGGATCATACTATGTGAAAATATCTTTGCTCCATCCAAATTCAAATTCGGCATTACTTTCATTTGTAAAGATGTATTTAATTGTTGCATGTTTCCTAAAATTAGGATTTGGATCAATAATTATGCCAAAAAACAAATTGGTTATGATTTAGGGAAACATTGTGGTCTGGATTAAAGCTACAACTTCATTAAGGTTTCAGGACCATCATTGTCATGGTAAACAAGCAGCTATTTCCATTGTTGATCATCAACAGACCTTGTGGCCTAAAAATGAAGGGGCTGTATATGGTTTTGTAGAAAAACATACTATTTGTCTTGTCTATTGCTACTGTGTATTCCTTTGCAAAGCAGTTAGCTTTACAAATACAGTGTCGTCAGCATACATTCACAACTTCATCCTGTGACACGGTTGTGGGAGATGTGGGCTAAATAGTAGGGGACCCAAGGCTGATCCCTGAGGTACAACCGTCTTCCATTAATATTTCCTTTGCTCTGAGTTAAAAATTTGGGACCCTCCTTAAAAGATTATTGATATTTTTGCAGATTATTGTTTACCTTTTTCCTCATTCATCATATTGTGACAACATTAGATTTCGTTCATCTCAGTTCTTAAATGATGTTGTTTCTCAGGCCTTTATAATTCGACATGTCTGTTTCTTGTCTAGAGTTCACTTCTTTCCACATATTTTCATTACACAAGGGTATGTCTTCGTGAATTATTGGATTTTTTCTGCACCTTTGCAGTAAATCTTTCCCTTACAGGAGTGGTGGCAACATTTTTTTCCAAAGGGCCATACAGACTTAGATAAAATAAATAAAGGGCCACACATTGGATGATTAACTTGAAACATGAAACACATCATGTTAAACTACATGAATTTACATGAACAGATTGCTTTACAATAAGCCATTTGCCTGCCCAGAAGGCCTGGTTCCTTGTTTAAAAAAACCTTAATATTACCTTAATAATATGAGTTAATATTACTTGTAAACATGTTATAGCCATTTTCCAGGATAGCCCACCGTCCGATTTGTGGTACCAAATTATGCATTTAAGTTTGTGTTTTTTAGAACATTCATGGTGCTTCTTTCCTCCAGTAATTAAGAAATAAATATATGCAAATAAATAATTTCTATATTGCATCTTCACCTGCATATCTGATCTTTAAACCAAAGAACAATGCCATATTGTAGCACTATAAATATTTCAGCACAACTAATCCATCAAATAAACACCCTTGTATTGTGAAATCTGCTCTTATTCTGTCACAGTGGCTTAATGTTGACTTTTATAATTACACCTCCATGGTATTTTATTTATTATGATTCAAGTCTCTTAGCACACTCTTAGCCGCAGGGTGCAGGCTTTGGCAGTGCAAAGCACCTGTCAAGGACCACCTGAAGTGTTTTGTTAAGCAATTAAACATTTTCTTGTATCATTTTTAGGGATGATTTCTGTTATCAAGTAGTATTTGTGTTATTTCAATCGTTCATTAAATGCTACCAATTTACTTCCACCCCCATCTCAGCTCACTTAATTCTCTTGTGGCTTTGTGTTTATGCTGCCAAAGTGCAATATTGACGCATAAACGTGCCATTTCACCCCTCAATTTACTTTATTGCACTTGTCCTGCGTCCAAGGATAGCATTTCTTAACTGCACTGTAACTAGTAGACACATACACACACGCTCAAACACACACATGCACACAAAGCACACCTGGGGAAACATTCCTCGAGGGAAGTCATCAATCAGTTTTATGGCTTTCTCTGGGAAAGTTCCCTCCTCTCCAATCAAGCGTCTTCCCTCCCTCCACCCGCCTCCTTGATTCTCTTTCTTATATTTCCATCTGTATCAGTTTTGGTTCACATCTGAGAACGATCCACTGCAGCCAATTAACTTCAACCATTTTTCCTATTCCACTGAGGGATAAGTGGAACAAACTGGAGAGTGAGATCTTTGCCTGGACGAGATATATACGAGATAAGACTTCTAAAACTGGCTTTCCCTCCGTGTCCTTAATTTGTCTGCCAGTGGTAATAAACCTGGAGGTGGAGGATGTGCAGAGTGTAAAATAAAATTCCTTAACAAGCCATGCAGTGTTTAATTGTCTTAAAATTCTAGTTTTCTAGAAGGAAAAACTGCCTCGAAAGTAAAAACCAAAACCACTTGTCTCTAAAGCAGATGAACCTGTTCCAGGAAGTTTTCCCACTCAAGTTGGTATGTTTGATTTAGTGTTTTATCCAGAGCTTTGAAACACCAAATACAGTAAAAAGAAAAGTTCTATTTTCAGATAAATTATGACGACAACCCATTTCCTCAATTAGCTTCATATTATGACCAAAGTGATCCTACCAAGAACACAAGTTAAAACAGTTCTGGTTGTTTCAGTTCAGAGATTTTTGTTGATGTGATGCACCTTTTAGTCAACTTTAATTGTTCAAAGCTGTGGCCTTGCTGCCCACAGTCCTGATTAAACTGTTTTTTATAGATTTCAACTCTTAATAAATTATACATATTTCACTTGTTGTTTGTTGCTCATTTAGACAAATATTCAATGTTGCAGAGAAATTTTCATGATTGAAATGTTCAGGGGCTTTAAACAAAATGAGTATATATGAGTGTCAAAAGAAAAAACACTCATTATGCAAAATAGACGTTAAATCATTGACATGAAAGCAGTTTAATGTTGTGGTTGGCTCCCCCAAAAACATTTTTACAGGGAAAAAATGGAAGATACATCTGGAAGATAAACAGAGGAGGGATTCCTCTCTCAGGACAGACAGACATGCAATAGATATGCAGAATATACTCACAACAGATAATAATTTATTCAATTATGAATACAAAATGTATATTGTAAAACATAAGAGGATGGATCCAGGACGACAACTGGACAGCTTCAGGTGTCGCCCACATAGTAGTATCTGAGCCACACAAGCTCCTCTACACCATCCAGACCTGCAGGCCTCAGAGGAATACAGCACTCACGCACGCACACAGAGGAAGAGAGAAAGATTATAACATGCAAACTAGGGAGGGACAGATCAGAAGTTAAAGTTGCAATACAACAATTTAAAAATACTCTAACAAATGAAAGTATAACTGAAGTGCAGAATTATAAGCAGCAACATGTACTAAAAGTATTAAGTAAAGTAGAGTAAGTAAAAGTCCTAAGTGCAGAACAATGTCCCCTGTAATGCATGTTTTTTATAAGCAGATCATGTTTTTGTATGTAAAAACATAATGTTTCATTTTAATGCTTGAGTAAATACAGTTAGGTACTTTCCACTATACTGTACTGTGTTTCTGATTAATGCATTAGACGTTTGTCAGTGAGATTCAGTGAAAACTGGGCAATACTGGGCATTTATAGACAAAAAGATCTATTAGAAAAAATAAAGGCGAGTGGGTCTCACCATTAGACTATCAAAAATAAAAAAAAGTTATCCAAAACATTTACGATAAGAGCTTATCAGCGAGTTTAATAACGTTCTTTTTTGAGTTTGATGGATTCATTTTGCCACGTGAGCCAGTTTGGCAGAGGTGCCCTGCGCCTCAAGCAGGATGTGGCTCCTCTCGAGGTGGATCACTTAAGTTACTATATGGAGAGACGCACCTCCCAGCTGATCCCCGTTAATGTATCTCCCCACACCCCTCCTCCTCCTCCTCCTCCTCCTCCTCCAGTACCCGGTGTGTTGCCCCCTCTCGGTATGTTTGTCTCCTGCTCTGCAAACCTGCTCCTCTGCAGACGCGGGGCTGCAAGTCCGGACACTTGCTGCGCTTCTCTTAATGATCACGAGGGACCGCAGGAGCAGGAGAAGTAAGGAGAAGGGGAATCAGTGGGACGCATATGGTGAGCTCTTGTGGTTTATTTCTTCCTCTTTCACAATATGTATTAGCTGGGATACCTGATGCGTTTGTGAGGATTTTATCTCTGCTGAACTCGCGCGTAAAGAGAAGCAGCGAATGAACGGCAAGTGTGTGTTTGTTTGTGTAGAGGGCGAAGAAAAGTCAGAAATTCACAAGAATTTATTTGCAAAAATGTAACTTAAAAATTTATTTTAGGATGATTTATCACCCTTTGTGTATTTTGGTATAAAGTATCTATTAATTTAATCCGACATGGCTGCACAACTTTATCCATATCCATAGAAATACAGCCGACATGCTTCAATTACTCGGTTTTATTTTCTGTTATTTTTTAAACATAAATATTTGATAATTTACGTTTATTCCACTGTATTTGATACATTTTAGCTCAAATTGGTTGCTAAAATGATGCGTTTGGTGTAGTCTTATTTATGTTTTATTAATTACATTCCCTACAACTCACGTACGCATAAATCTTTGACCTTTTTACTTTAAAAACTAGGACTGAATTCCCTTAAAACTCCTTAGTTTTTACTCAAAGTGTTACTGTCTCTGGGACAATCCCAACTTATTATGACATAATTGTAATACATTCTAAGCACACGTCGTAGCCTATACTTTTGTCGGTGTGTCCTGCGGTTGCGCATTAAATAAATATTAAATATGCAAAAGTAAAATATGAAACTAACACGGGTTTTAATTAGTTGGACTGGGTTTAGATTACAAAAGAGTCCTTAATGCCAAACAGATAAGACTAACAAGATTTGTTTTTAAATCTGAATGAAGTTGTTTGATCAATCTGTGATAGCCTAACACTGTAAATATTATTCCTTCCCCCTGTGAGATAAAGATAATTGACTGCGGCCAATTTCTGTTTAACAAGTACAATTAGCTCTGCAGAACGGAGGCAATTAGTCTCCGGGCTTCACTGCTCTTGCCAAAGTAATCAGACTAAATATGATAACCATTTGTGTTTAATCAGCCCAGGCAAGTGAATCATTATTCTCAGGTCCATTAAATGCAACGCCCGCAACCTGCGTGTGACTGTAGGCTGTTTGCCTTTTAAGGTCCGTCTGTGGTTTATTCGTTTCCCTAAAATCCCTTCGCAGCACTTGTTGTCCAAGAGAAAATATACCACCGTGGGCTATTTGCTTTAACAGACATATGAGATTGCTCCTTTTATTTTAACGATACAGGGGCGTTAATGCCTAAGACATGACGTTTTACAGTAGGGACCTTTAGTGTATTTAATTAAAACAGGCTGTTATGTATTTTTTTAATAATCTGATAACCCATTTTAATAGTAAATTAGCCAACAAAAATAACTGGTGCTTTTTATTTGTTTTGTGCTCATAAAGGGCACAGCCTTGGAGTATTTTTGTGTTTTTGTTTTACCTCCTGCTCCTCTTTATTAACCCTGATTTAATTGACACACAATTACAACCAGGGGCCTTACTTGTGCTTCCATCATGCCCGAGGTTGTCTTTGGCGTGACTGCAACATGGAATCACAATGATTTCATTTCCATCTGTTTCTCAATATCAACATGTGAAGCTGGAGCTGCTGGAGAGCGTCCTGCCAACTTGTATGAGGCTGTAAAGGGGGGAGAATTGACAGGAAACCCCACTTTCAAATATCAAGTGGGTGACATGTGTTTTTTTATTCAAAAATGAAGTAAGCAGGTCTTGTGGGTCAGTGCAGAGGCAGAGACTCCCTCCATGTGGAGGTGCAGTTGGCCCCCGGGGGCCCCGCACATGCAGCAGATTGGCAGTTTGTTGGAGGTGCAAACATAAAGGACAGAGGCCTTTAGCTAAAGATACAAGCGGTGATAATCCATTTTGTGCTGTCTGTTGCTTTCACCTCGCTGGGCTGCCCCACTAAAATTAGATTATTACACCTAAAACAGAACTCGTGGAATCTGCTCCGTGTGGAATAACACACACATGGGCTTCAACTGCGCAGGCAGGAATGCAGTTTGAGAATACAGACCGCATACGTAGCCTTTCTCTTCTCACCCGAAGCCCAGTGTTGTATTTCTGACCAGCTGAGGACAATTGCAAATTAACAAAGGTGTCAGTGTGATAACATGCACCAACAGGTGCCTTGGTCCAGCTTCAAACATACAGGCTATAAGAGAGAGCTTATATAATTGATCATATTTATTTAAAGGCTCCGTGTCTTACAGCAGAGCTGCAATGTAGGACCCTGAGAAATCGTCCCAGCGACTATTGGCCTGATATAAAACTGTCTTTTTAAACTGCCCTATTCATTTGTACAAACCCCAATTAAGTCTTTTGAAACTTATCACAAAGTAGTAAGGCAATCTGAATTTAACATATTTTGCCTCTGTCTCGCTGTCCCAGGGCTGTTGCCCATGACGAGGAATGTTAAAATGTGTGAGACAGGCCAAATCCAGCTCATCTGCTCGCCAGGACAGCTCCAGACCCAAACAGGCCCACAGCTCTCAAGTGTGAACAGGCCAAAGAGAGTTAACAGGTAGCAAGAGAGAAAACCACACACAAGAGGTTTCCACGCTTTATTTTAATAACTTAAAGTCCTAATTTCCTGCTAAAACACAATGAATGAGTTCATTGCAGCAGAATAAAGTTTTAATAGTGTACATGCATGGGTCAGAACGCTGTTAAATCCCTCGTGCTGCTACTCCGTGCCTTTCCTCTTAGATTATCTGCCTTATGCAGTACATTAATATGTAAAATCTACAAATAGGCACCAGAAACAAAAGTAAAGTAATTACCAAAAAACTAACCACGGGGTAACACAGCTACAAGCACATGCAAATAAAAATCTCCTTCATGCTTTCCTGTGCATTTTCTAGGTTTTATAACCTACCGGAGTCACATTTCTTTCAGATAACCATACCTCTTAAAAATATAGTACTTGTTAGTATAACACTGGCTTGATTATAAGATTTCAGTTAAAATCTTCTTTAATTCATAAGACAATAAAACTTCCAACAAACACCAAACCATAAAACAATGCATTTGTTTCTCCCCCTGACATTAACATTTTGGCGTAACCAGGCACATTTCAGCATGATGAAGAATAGAAGGTGAATTACATTAGGGGAATAAATAGGGACTGCAGAGCACGAACTCTGTTCGACTGCTGTAAACATGCCCCCAGGTTGTCAGCAAGTATTTTTCCAGCCCCTTGCCAGCCAAGCATAGCTGCTTCTAAAGATCATCCGCCGGAGATGTTGATCTCATCTTACCACTATTTGGCTGTATAAGCTTTTTGAAAGACATATATTGCTGCCAAGTTATTTCAAAACCTTTTCTCTGAAGCCTAATGTCTCCAAAATTGAGGCGTATTTGTTGTGTTTCCTTTCTCAATACGAGGTTTAGTGGGGAGGAGGATAAGTGGGTGAGGGGCTCTTTCAAACACATATTATCTGAAGTCAGTAGCCTATGTGTAGATAAAATATGTGTTTTTGCCTTTTCTTTTCATCAAACGGCGCTTTACAGAAAATGCTGCTCACCTACAGCATGTTCCTCCGACACTCCGGTTGTGTGAATTTATGGAAAGCGGCAGAGAAAAACCGTTGAAACCATATCCGGAGGGTTACGGTGGCGGTGCCAGACAGATGATCTGGTTTCGGATGGAGAGTCTGGATTTGGCCTAGAGGGGCGCATTAAAAACCTCAGGGGCCTCTCTGAGATGAGCATCCATTTATCAAAGTGGTTGTAATGGGCCGATGTTTAATTAGTCATGTAATGTGACAAAGACAAGAGCAAGTGCATGTCATGGGAATGTTAAACAACCGCCCCCTTTCTCTTCGAGCCTCGTGTGTTTCACTCGCCCTAACCCTGATCCCCCACCCGCCTACGCTTACTCGCCATTCCTCATCCAGAATACATTCTTCCACCACTTCGCTGAATCCTCTAATAACCTTTACCCCGCTCACAATCCCTTTCACACTGTCTTCCCTTCTTATCCAGCCAGGACACTGACACCGTATGAAACAGGAGACCTAATTAATCACCCGATCAACTTATAAGTCCTGCTTTTTATCAGTGCGTTCAGATTCCCGGGGGGCATGTCTTGACATGCCAGGAATGACCAACCGAGGCATTCTGGACCCCAGGAATGTGGCTCGATGGCACCAGGGTCACAGTCACACCGCTCATCACTGCACTCTTTGCTTGTAGCGTTTCCTGTAGCAACATCACAAATAAGGTTGCCTGATATGCCTGATCTTGGCTTTTGTCCTCAACCAGGTTTGGTTTATCCACTTTCTAGCATGTCTATGCTTTTGGAGGCCTTTTGGAGCAGAGCAGCTTGTCCGAGGCAGCAGACCTCCTCACATGCCCCTCAGAGCTGTGTGGTCCCCGAGGGAAGCCTCATATTTCGGTCGTTGGCTAATTGAGCGGGATGACGCGGCCCGGAGAGGATCTCAGCCCCGTCCTCTCCTACGGGTTTGGTTTATGAAGCCCTGCTGACTTTGCTGTCAGTGTCAAACGCTTGTTAGGACATCATCAATCTCGGAGCAGTTAAGATTATTCCCAGAACAGAATGAAAGGGGCAGGTGATAGATGGGCAGGCGGACGGAAGAGCAAGGGAAAGTTGTTTGAAAATGTGGAAGGAAGGTAGTTATTGATGAGAAAATGACAGTCCTCTTAGGAAGGAAATAAATAAGAATGACCCAAAAGTGGAAGGCGTTGAACTTTCTCAGCAAGAAACAAGTAAAAGAATTGCTTGTTGGGAATGTGCTTCTGGGCTTCATGTGAGCAGTAAAAACCATAAATCACTGGTTCCCGAGCAAGTACACACATTGTTCGTTTTGTCCACATGCCAAAATTAACGCTCTCGGGTATCAAAACTTGACAGAGGAATAAATTACTCTCATCACCAGTTGTAACAGAGGGGAAGGGATTTGTTCGCGCTGTGGACGTACACAAGTCTGTGTTTGTCTTTACCACGGAAGTATCCGTGTAGGGGCTCAAACCGAACACACATTTCCACCTATAAATCATTTCCTACCATCCTCAAGACTAATCTCCAACTCCTCTCCTTCCCTCCCCTCATTTCGTTCTGTCTTTTTTCTCATACCCCTCTTTTCTGCTCGATAACACACCACTCATGCTCAAGCATCTCGCTCGCCTGCAGCACTGACCAACGGTGAAGTGATTTGAAAAGGAGAGCCATAAACGTGATGGATGTGGCCCAGCTCAGGGTTTAGCCCCAGCTGTCGGGCATGTTTTTTGTCATTTCAGACAAAATGTGCGCCCTTCTTCACCCGCTCTCACCAACCCTTTTCGGGGGTTAAGGGGAGTTTGAAGACGAATGTGTTCTTAAAGGCTGTCAAGGTCATGGGTTCAAACCAGTGGCCGACAGTACTGTGAAGATCGGGGATTACATTTTTACAGGATGAGATCTTCTACCGAAAGCCAATAAGATGCAGTTGAAGTGATGCAGTAAGCTGGTATCGTGTGTTTTCAATAAAGGCACAGGTGGTCTATCTTAGATTTCCTTCTTTGGCTTCGTCATATAAATCAATCACTTTGTGGGGTTTTTTTTTTTTGGTTTTATGATCTAGCTCCCATGGTTTTATTTTAAAAATCATTTAAATTTTTTTCTTCCACAGGCTGGATGACATGATGTTACTGCCCTTTTCCCCTCCCCCCTACACCTCTCTCTTCCCTGTTTTCCTTCTACTCCTCCTTTTCCTTCCTCCATCCCTTGTCTCCTCTTCCCTTTCCCACACGCCGTTGAGCTGGACTTCGCCTCATGACCCCTGCTACCAACTAGACGGCCGCCCACGACACTGTCTGTCGGAGTTCATCAACGCCGCCTATGGCATCCCCGTGAATGCTAGCCACTCGCTACAAGGGCCTGATTATGACAGCAACATCACCACCTTGACGGACCTCCACAACCCCCACAACCTCACCTGCTGGATGGCCCACAGAGGTCCTGACACCGGAGAATGGGTCCTCACGCTACCTCTGGGCCGCCGCTTTGAGATCACCTACATAAGTTTGCAGTTCTGCCAGCAGGGGGAGCCATCAGACCCCATCTCTATCTCCATCCTCAAGTCGATGGACTATGGGCGGACCTGGAGACCAATGCAGCACTACTCCAGTGACTGCCTTGGGAACTTCGGGCTGCCCTCCCAGACGGTGGCCCAGACAAGGCACCAAGAAACAGAGCCGCTCTGCTCAGACCCTCGCCCACTGCAAAAGCAAAGGGGCGGCATGGTATTGGCCTTCTCCACCTTGGACGGACGGCCATCCTCTCCTGATTTTGACCACAGCCACACCCTCCAGGACTGGGTGACGGCCACGGACATCCGTGTGGTCTTCCACCAGGTGTCCAAAGACGCCAAGGTGGGCAACATGGATACGAAAGAAGAAGCACGATGGCGTGATGGTGCAGAAGATGACAGAGGGACTGGGCTTCTGAGGTGGAGATCGGGCCACAAGGGGCGCACTGGAGATCAGGTCGCCAAGTTAAACACAGATAATACACTGGCATTTTTTGAAAGGGAGACAAAAAACTCAGAGATAAGGGGGGGGAACAAAGGGGAGAAAGTGGACAAACATGGAAGGAAGGGTCATTATAAAGGGTCCAGTCAGGACGAAGATGGACACAATGTGACCAGCAAAGAAGGGGGCGATAGTTTTAGTTCGGACACATTTGCTTCATCAAAGAAAGGCGGGAAAGGCAGAGGGCGAGGCCGCAAGAAGGAACACAATCATTGGCTGCCTTGCCCAAATGGAGACTGCAATTGGACAGTTGAGGGGCAGAGCAGGAGCAACAAGGGGCGGGAACTGAGGAAGAGGAGGAACAATATGCTCAACACAAAGCAAAGCTCCAGGAATCTGCAGGTGGCCCCACCCTCTGCTTTTACCTCTGCTGTCCGAGCTCCTCTAGCCCTCTCTGACCTGCAAGTTGGCGGCCGGTGTAAATGTAACGGACATGCTTCCAGGTGTCGGCGTGACGACACAGGCCGAGCGATGTGCGTGTGCAAGCATCACACAGCAGGGCCAGACTGTGACATGTGCGAGGATTTCTACTGCGACAGACCATGGCATCGAGCTACACCCACACACCCAAACCCCTGTGTTGGTGAGTCCTGGATTCTTTTGCTGAATGAAAATGTAAAAAATGTGTTATGTTATTTACACATTGCATGTCTTGTCATGGTTTTAGATAACAAAATAAACATACGCAACACAAGACATACTACAAAAAGAAACTACAACCACACAAAAGGTAGAAAGGGGGGGTGTCATGTTCTATTTAGTTATATAGGTTTTTTTTACTTTCCTATAGTATAAATGTCTCTGATCCATTTAAGTGATACTCCAGAGATACAGCACTGCCCCTCCATAAAGCTGGGGGACAGATACAATCTTTGCATCATTGCAGCAGAGGACAAAATGGATCCCACTTTTCCCATAATGCACGTGTCTTTATAGACCCTCACTGAGTGAATACCCATGTCTTTCAAACTCCACACTGACACAGGCTTTCTGCTATAAACGAGTAGTCTCCAAGTCCAGTTGAGATAACATCATCAGGGTTATTTTCTCAGCCACAGAAGAAACGATACACCTGTTTTAGTAGAACTCCGCATGACAAGAAAACTGAACTTTATAGCTTGGCTTGTCCCCACAGACACATAAAGTCTCTCTCTCTCATTTCTTCCTGTCATTTTTCTGCTGTCGACTCTCTAATAAAAGCATAAAATGCACCAAAAATACTTTAAAAAAGAGATGAACTCCAAAGAAGTCACATGTGTGATGGCATCTTCATTACTAACCAACACAACAATCCAAAACATTGGATATGAGATCCTGTGATGATCATTTTCTTTATTGGTATTTATTATTTCTCTCCCATGTCCAGCCTGTGAGTGTAACGGCCATTCAAACAAGTGCCGCTTCAGCATGGAGGTGTTCCAGCAGTCGGGCCGGCGTAGCGGAGGTGTGTGTCAGAAGTGTCGCCACCACACGGCCGGGCGCCACTGCCAGTACTGCCAGAATGGATACACTCGCGACCACAGCAAGCCGTTGAACCACCGCAAGGCCTGCCAATGTAGGTCACTAGATGTGTGTTTACAGTATGAGTGTGTGAAGCGGAAGAAGGAAGTGTATTATTGTATTTGTGCATGTGTGGGTGAACAACATGTAACTTTGATAACTAACTGTGCATTCCTGAAAGATGAAAAGCGTGTGCGAGGCAGTGTTTATGTCTGACGGGCTGACTACATGTCTCTGTGTGCCCACTCTGTCTCAGTCCGGGCGTATAAGTGTTTATGGGGTGGTTACATTGTGAGAGTGGGCAGCTATTCCTGTTAGCGATGCACACACAAAAACACACGCACCCCACTGAGCTGCCACCTGTAACCCCATCATTACCGCAGGTTGGCATCTGCCGTGACCCCTGACCTTTGACTGGTCACATGTCCTAAGGGACTGTGACACTCTGGCATGCTCATGGGGAAGCTTGACCACAGGCGTAATATATCCAAAGTTAATGGGCTCCCTTTGAGCTTGACACAGAGATGAAAAAAAATATGCCAATATTAAACATCCCCATGTTTTATCACTTTTTATGCATGAAACAAAAGCAAACTGTAAATTTTCTACCACACAGTCTTACATCTCAGCTTTGATTTAGTGATGCTATATTTCACAGAGTTAGCCTTCAGCGACCAATTACTCATTTTCTCCAGTCAGGTTGTTTGGGCTCATTGTAAGGATTTGTGTAAACATTACTAGACTGTGAACAGAGCTGCTGAAGTGCGGCTTCCTCTCTCTATCTGTCTTCTCTCATTGGGTCTTATCCTGTGAAAGCACTAGTAAATAAAAAGCTTTGCAGTGTAAACCATAGCAAATCCAGGCAGTAATCATTATACAGCATCACAACAGCCAACATTAAGAACAAAACAGAAAATTTAAGTTTAAGTATGGGATTGGTCTCCATCTTGATAAAGACTGATGGGCTAAAGCCATCTGGGAATAAGTCCAGGTCCTTATTGTTCTATCCCTGATAAATGCTGATATATTAGTGTTGTCAGGGAACAAAATCATCCCTGTCATCACGTGATATTCAGTTGATAGCCCAATGGAGGAATTTGTCTTTGTTTACCCAACAAGACAGCGACAAAATAGATTTTATGGTGTGAGTACAGGTCTCGGGTCTTTTCTCAAGGACACTCCCTCCGGACGGATGCTGTCGAGGAGGATTAAATCTGGGTCCTGTTCTTGATGGATGGTCTTCTGTTGACCTGTCTGTTGTTTGTGCAGTAGTCACAGGCACATGTTCTTGCTTAATATATCTTTAACTTGCTTTCTCGATGCCCGCTCCTCCACAAAGCCATGGCACCTCAACCAAATACACTTGCTTGCCCATTTCATATTCATACAAATGAAACACATTTACATGTGGAAGCTCCCCATCGCAACCACAGTCGTCTGCGGTTGGCCACTGATATCCCTCACTGGGTTTCTGAACCACCAAAATGACTACTACTTGAAAGCTGCACTACTTTGTATGGCGAATTGTCGCATCTGCAGTTCCCTCTGGTCTATGGAGCATTTTAGCATCTTTTAATGGGAGTAACAAACCAATGTACGCTACCTGCCCAGCACCACAAAGCAGACAGGCAAAGTTAGCTAATGAACACGTTGGAGCATTTAGCATCTAAAGAGCCAGAAATTTCCCTCAGAAGTGGGTAGTGACTAATACAGAGATAAAAGGAGGGTGTTGCTAACGCTTCACTACATTAACTCCAAAGGTGATAACTTGTCTATTGGACTTTCAGCTTGGTTTGTTGCCCCCAAGTAGCGCAAAGAAATAATTAATTATTGCTACCTCAAGGCTAGTCAGTATCACATCTGTGAGCTTCTCATTCTCTTTTTCAGCGTGTCAGTGCCATCCTTTGGGAGCAGTGGGTAGCTGGTGTAACCAGACATCAGGTCAGTGTCTGTGTCGAGAAGGGGTAACCGGCCTCAGGTGTAACCGCTGTGCCCCGGGATACAAACAGGGCAAGTCCCCCCTGCGGCCCTGCATACGTAAGTCACCTACTAGGATCAATGTTTATTCAGAATCTACAAATAATGGCAGCTGTCTCCGAGAAGCAATGGCAGAAGGAGCATGACGTTTAGCCCCGAAAACACATTTGGAGAGGAGGTCCCCAATCCCCGAGTCTGATTTGCCTAAACTTAACCAAAATTTTACCATTAAGGGGACACATCAGAAAACAGTCTTGCATTTATGATTATCAACCGTGCGTCCAATCAGAAAATATGGGTAGCTTTGGAAGTCAGTTCCAGCCGATTTTGTTGTTTATGTTGGATGACTTGTTTTAATATGGATTATGAGTCTTAACTTATCTGTACAAAAAGTTATCTTTGTGTTTGATGCATGTAATCTTAAATAAAATAAATAAATCACAGACTTTTAATAGTTAGTTGTCAGTCATGACAAAGTTAATTTCTCCTTCAACCTGATTCGCTTGTGGCCTAAATGGATTAAACCTCCTATCAAGCTCCCTGAGCCTTTATCAAGTAGTAGCTCAATATAAAAGGGGCCGCTGCTGTCCAGACTAATTTGAACCAATCTCCCAGCGTGTCCCCTTTTCATCATCCCTCGAGACGGTTTCCATAGCAGCGTTAACATGAGCTGACCTCTACAGGGAAACCTCATCTCCAGCTGATCTGTGATCAGCGTCAGATCAAGTGGATTGTTGCTACTCATATCTCTTTGCCTGGCCAACACTGAACTTCAGCAATGAGCGCTAATCCACGTGTGCTTCCCGGCTAATCGTACGAGTGCCGACAACTACACAGGCACTGACTCTGTGTAAGCCCCAATCAGGTGACATAGGGAGCCAGAGGCGGCGAGCTTCACACCTGTTGTGCAGCTCAAAACGTCCCCCATCACAGGGCCCAGACTCATAACTCTCCCAGTGAAAGGAGTGAGTGAAAGAAAACCTTGTTTGTTTTTACTGCCAGACCATCTCAGGCTATGTTTAGCATCTCCCCCCACCACCACCTCTAACACCTCCTCTCATCAGACAGACGAAAAGGCACGCAGCGGCACAGGCTAAACTTAAAGTTAGCCTCCACTGAACTTTTTTATCTGCACCATGAGCAGCACAGGAAGTCCACATGTTTAAATGTGTCTCTAAAGTCCTCCTATACAAGGGTAAAACACAGTAACTACATATTTAGGTAAAGACAGACAACAAGCCAACCAAAGCAAGAGAGTAAAAGGATAGCTTGTGAGATAGCCACAGTTAGCTAAAGCTAAAGCTAAAGCTAAAACTTAATTTACTTACTGCTTACTTATTGTTAACTGTAAATGAAAAATATCCATTTTGAATAACTGACTTACTAATCTTGGCAATTCACTTGGTTTTCCACATAATAAATTGAGGCTGTAGCTGAATCCAACCATGATGGAGAAAACCCGCAGCTAAACTCCTGCTAAGCTAACGTAACCAACTTGTTGTGATTCAAGTGAAGAGCTACCTTTGAATTTACTTATAAATTATATCATTGTAAATTAATTTAATTTAGTTTAATCTCAATAATAGGAGGAAAGACACCTGGCAAACAGTTACATTTAATTTCTATGGCCTACGAAACATAAATAATCAATAAAATAAATGTTCTTAAACAAAATAGTTGTACATTTTGATGGTACTGCATTTAAAGGTTATCCAAAGTGCAGTAACTGCATTTTAGGTATTATACAGTATATGTTATAGTCAGATTTTGATCAGATATCTTGGTTCAAATCATAATTTGTCCCCATTTTATAGACTGTATTCCAAAGTTTGTGTACAACTGCTTGTACAATATTTTAAGTCACACAGGAACATTATATATTCCTCACAGCAAGAAATTCAAATATGTTTTATCTTTGTATCAGTAACAAAAACTCTGGTATTGTGTAGGTGCACTAGTATATAAAAAATTCGGTACCCATAGTCCTGCATCCCTCATTTGCCTAATTTTGACATCTCACATAATTTACATAAATATATATAGGCTACGCACAAACCCACAGGACCTTCCCGTTTTTTAAAAGTGGGGACAGTCAGCTGGGTGGGGGTGTAGGGTATCACTGGCCCAGTTGTGTCAGAGAGGACAGGACATGGATGGGGGAAAGAGTGTGTGACCTTAGTAAAATATGGCTGCGCTCTCTCTCTCTCTCACACACACACACACACACACACACTTTTATAGGAGGCCTGGATAATGTATGTGCAGACCAGCAGGTTGTTCACACACACTCACACACACTCACACACACTCAGGCAAACTTTATTACTCCTTCTGTTTAATGTTTGAGACAAAACGAGACAAAAAGTGATAGTTTGACCTTACTAAATTACAGAAAGTAAAGTGTGTGTCTTTGTGAGCGTCAGAGAGTGTGTTTTCCAGCCCATAAAAAAGGGACCACACGCACTCACTTTTGACACTTGCTTATCTTCTGTGCAGACATGCCCCACGCACCGAGAGGCATTCAAGCATAGTGTGCATAACACACGCAGTCTGCAACAACCTGACAGCTCATGTAGGTAGGCTGAAGCGCCTCTCTGTGTGTCTTTTCCTGTCACCTGTCTGAAACTGTGTTTATGTTTGCAGGAATTCAAGAGGTCGCTCCGACCCCAGTGTACCAACCTCAATACAGCATAGGTGAGAAATGACACTGGCTTAAATATTATAACCTATCAATAAACACACATAGTAGGCTACCTGCATTTTTCCACAATGATTTATCATATTTATATTAAGTAGGGTTGGGCAATATGACAATATATACAGTGAGATGAAATAGTTTAAATGGAAAATCTACCATCAGACTATTTATACAATGGTAAAGTAAGCCCATACTGTTGTTATTGTATGTATAAACAGCAAGACCTTGATAAATGATTTAACCATTTCCTCTAATGTTAGGTGTATGATAATGGCAATCTATTTTTCTTTCAGCCCAACTACAGATTCATCACCCCCATCTTATATCTATTTATCTCTTTTGATCTTGTTGTAAATCACCTGGTTATAAAATGTGCTAGACAAAATGTATATTCTTATTTAGAGACTCAGAAGTGAAAATAATGCCTTTACCACAATAACAGAACAGTTGACTCTGTAAACTTCCTTTTAAACCAGTTGATGTCCTCTCGTGTACAGCATGCATATTTAAAGCACTTCTATGGAATCATATATCAAAATAAAAAACTTCTCTGAAGCCTTGCCATGGGCCACATTTTTTTTAATCAAGGGGTCCTTGAATTGAGAAACTGTTTCGGGAGCTCCTGCTGTGTCTCATCATGCAGTAGCTAACCACTCCCTCCTAGTGGCGGCTTGAGGAATGTCCCACCTGCTGCAGCCGAGGTCATCTGTTAGTCACAGGATACTGTGATGACAAATACAAGCAGCCATATTGTAATTAGGGGAAAAGACATGTGCTGATATGCCTGCTATGAAATGATACCCTCTCATTTGATGCATTCTCGCTCCCTCTGTTATAGCGGAGGAGTGTGTTTCATACTGCCAGCCCTCTCAGGTTAAAGTCAGGATGAACTTGGAGACCTATTGTCTCAAGGACTACGGTTAGTGTTGTGTTTTTTTTAAGTTATTACCTTGTCAAAAGTGATAATTTAGAAATATAAAACAAATGTATTTACGTATAAAATTAATGCAATTTTAATCAAATGTAAACTACTGTAAATTTAATGACTGAAACCAAATTTGTATCATGTAAAACCTAAATATTTAAAGTAAAGATTAAAAGAAAGAAAATAATTGAACAAAATTATGAAAATATATACATTAATAATTATATAATTTAAACAGTGTTATTCTATATATTGCATCTCTGTCTTTGCCAGTGCTGAAGGTGCAGGTGAGAGGAATGGAGCGTTCAGGTCCCTGGTGGCAGTTCTCCATCTCAGTCCAAACCGTCTTCCGCACAGGGTCCACCTCCCGCGTTCGTAGGGGCCCCCACTCCCTCTGGGTCCCTGACCGCGATCTTGGCTGCGGCTGCCCCGCCCTGCATGTGGGCCGGACCTTCCTCCTGATTGGTGCAGAGGAAGGGCAGCGGGGCTGGGGGCCTGAGGAGAGTCGCCTGGTGGCAGACCGCTCCACCCTGGCCCTCCAGTGGCGGGAACACTGGAGCCCCAAACTGAGGGGCTTCCGGGGGCAGGACAAGAGGGGCCGCTGCCCGCCAAAATCCCCCAACAACCACCAGCACCACCATCACAGGGAACAAACAAAGCCCCAGTCTGGGTACATCCCCCCTCACCTGCTGACTGAGAAAGACACGGAGCCTCGCAGTGTGAACACACACTCTGTGAACGTGGCTGACACTCAGACCTCAGTGGTGCTGCACACACACTCTCACACAGACGCTGAGGTCAAATCCACAAAGGCAACCTCCTCGCCAACTCTACCCTTTCTGGTGTGCTCTACTCAAGGTCCTGGATGAAAAACAAAAACCACAAGGAGATAACAGGAGTTTTTATAATCCACTTTCTGGATATTCTGCAAAAAGAGAAAAACTACAAGAAAAGTGCTCTTTTTTTACAGTTTCTCCTGAAGGTTTCAGGAGAAACAGGCCTGACTTTGCTTCAGTGAAACTCCACAACACACATAAACACTAACACCTGTTATGTGATGTTCAAACGCTTATCTAAAAATGTGAAGAAACACACATTTCTTGTTTTATCTTTTATCTTGGAGGGTAAAGGTCAACTTTCAATGATAAAAATATTCTAAAATTCAGCACAATTGGTGCTATTTGAAAAATTTTAATTTTAATATTTTCTTCTAAAGAAGCTTTTGAAAATTAAAATCTGACTAAACTCTGACTGAAATGCCATGCGGTATTGTTGTCTTATGAGGACATGTTTTAAGTATTGTTTGAATCATATTTATTCATTTCACACACACACAAAAATCAAGAGAGAAAACTCACCATCTAAATAAATAACTTAAAATACTGAATGTGCAGATTTAGCAAAATTATTAAAAGGGTAAAATTTCTACCTCACATTAGACATACAACAAAATGTAAAAGTTTTTTCAGAAATGTGATGTTTCCTTTTTTAAATAAAGAGTGGCCATGGTACATACATATTTTTTTACTTCAAATCCATACTATATCCTTGAGTTTGTATTTTTATTTCTCATATTTAATTTTGAAATTAACATATATTTAAATAAAATGTAATAGTCCTCACCAAGAAAAAAAGTTTTAAAAAAATTGTTTTTTATTTCCTGGGAGCAATAATAACAACCAATGTTTTGAAACAGACCCCAAGTTTTTAAATAATATATACATAGGCATCCACCAAACAGTTGAGACGCTCACAATATAGCATTAATTATACTAATAATATGAATAGATTCTTGGGAATTTTTTAGTATAAGGGCCAGAAAAGTGCGTGGCCTAGCACCAGAACATTTTTAGTGTCCATCTACTATTTGTAAAACAGAATAAAAATCTGAATTACAAACCATGTACTGTTACAATGCTAGTAACATGTTTACCAACATATGTCAATTTATTACCATGGAATTCGTAGTAATACTGGCATTCTTTCTACATATTTATTCTAGATATTTACCATATTTACAGTACTTTGAAAACATCTCAGAAAATGGTGAAAAATCTTACTGGTAAATATTTTCATAAAACATATTATGAAATAACGTTTGTTTTTAGACAATAAAAACTCATTCTCACTCACTCAATGATTTCTGCATATAAATAATAGAATAACATTAAATGCATGATATTAACAACAACTAATTACCAAAAAAAATTTTTTACTTGTAGCAGATTGTTAATTTGAAATACATTAGCTTAGCTTCACTTGCTTTACCATAAAATAACAAAATACCTGTTTGAAAGACTTTTATTGTTGTACAAAATTAATCAGTTCTGTTCAGTAATACCTCTGAAACTACAATTTGTCAAAAAAATTAATATTAATATGGAAAATTCCACCAAACATAGTATTCATGTCTGGACTAACCATTTTGGTAACCAACTTTCTGTAAGGAGGCAAACTGAAAATGCATATTATATGTATGTATATGTATTTCTTAACTAATGCTCCAAACCTAGTATTGCGCACCTGTATTATATCCACAACTTACATTATTCTCGAATAGACTCTTTTCTGGATTTTCCCTCTTCACAGGTCACTCACACACACACACACACACACACACACACACACACACACACACACACACACACACACACACACACACACACACACACACACACGCCTTGCCTTCACACTGTACATTATTTGGGGAAATTGAAACTATCTACAATCTGCTCCCTCATTGGACAGCTGACACAGAGACCAAACTAACTTCAACCTCATTTCCTAACCATATAGGAATCCACAGATAGACCGTCAGGAGCCCAGATACGGATCTAAAAAGCATCGGTCCAGCCTGTCGTCATGACTTCTGTTTCCATTTGGAAGACATGGCGGTATAGCCCAGGGGAAATGGTGTCAGTGGCCGGGGAGGTACATTAAGACAGATGGACGAGCTCCTATTTGTTGAGCAGCCATGTTGTTTTGGTAGCGGCCGGGTCAGTGATTGGCTGTGCCGCTGTTTTGGAGCCTGGGATTGAAAATAAAATGAGAAAAATAGACTCGCTGACTGATGACACTGAGGGAGTGTCAGTGGGCTTGGTGTTTTTATACTCATGAGGTCCAGATGTCTTCACAAGCTTCTTCATGGCCACATAATTAACCAATAGAAAATATACTGAAAAGATTTTGTTGAATCAGGATCGTGATTACAGGATTGTAATCTTGTTTACTTAGGAAACTGTTAGCAAGTAAAGAAAATCATAAGAGAAATCCTCCAATATTTTGCTGGTCTATACCGAGTACTTAGTTATAACGTCACAAGGACGATCGGCTGACCAAAAACCATTTAACAATGATAATACTTACCAGTAGGACAGGGGACTCATTACATTCTGTGTTGACACACATCCTCAATGTTGACACTAAGCTGCAGAAGGGAACATAACTCTCAATTATAGCAATTATAGCTCTGCCCCAAAAAATTATGCAAGCAAGACCTATGGCTTTTTTGTGCTTGTTTTTAAAATGATCAATAAAACAATTATTTTAAATGTGGGTATTAACCTTATAAGATGGGTGCACACCTGCAGCTGTAAACATTATCTATCTAGTACACAAAAAAGTATTAAAATATGTTGTCAAGATCATGACCAGAACAGATGCGTTTTATTTGTTTCAAAGTATCATAAATGCTGATTAACAGCTGAAAAGGCAAACTTTAGGCTGCACTGGTCAATATTTTTAGACTAACAATGGATCACATGACTATGCTAAATGTGAAACATGTTGCTTGTAGCTAACACCGGGATTCCCCTCAGGTCAGCTTTTTAGCGTCCATTAGCTCATTGCTTTGCTTCACTCTTGCCGCTCTCATCACCGTCTGCTGATTTAAGCAAGAAAATATCTATTAAGCCTACTGTATGCTCCCTGTGCTGAACCAAACAACAGGCAGACAAAGTTAGCCACTAGCTGGTGAACATAGTGGAGCATTTAGCAGCTTAAGAGCCTGATATTGTTTCTCAGGAGTCGGTGGAGACCAAAAACAGAGCTAAAAAGAAAGTGAAAATTGGACTCAACACGTGTCAGCTGGCCAGAAACACTACTCCAAAATGAATGATAGCATTGCTCCATAACTGCTGGATTTGCAAATAAAAATATTTCTATAAAGGTGATAATATGTCAGTGTTGTTTTTACAGCTTATTTCCACCACCAGTTTGATACTAGCCTCTCTAGTGCGAATGTGGCATTTGAGGAATGTTTAACTAGTGGTCTGTTGTTCGGGTAAGGTTAGCATTAGAACAAGTTGTAGGTAAAGAAAGCATAATGTTAGGTAACCTTAAAAATTCAAAGACAAAAACTGGAAAAAGTTCAAACAATTAAGACTGAATGTGATTCATTTTAATGGATGAAACCCAGCAGCAACACAGCGGCTATAACAGTTAAGCATATACAGTAGAGTGCAGGGTTACTGCTCACATCCCCACATGTATAATACAAACTTGTGTGTGTGTCAGAGGGAACGAGAGGGGGGAGGGACAGACAGTGTGTGTGTGTCAGTACATGCACAATCATGTCTTAGAGGCAAAATATCTGTCCTGTGTGTGTGTGTGTGTGTGTGTGTGTGTGTGAGAACGTGAAGCACCTGCTGCGTTGCTGCAGGAAGCACCTGTCAGCGGTCGTCTCCTCAGTGCAGCCTCTGTCGACATGAGGGTTTGATCCTAAAACTCCCCAAACACACACACTTACACAGACACTAACAGACAACTTAAGCCCGCAGCTCGTTTTGCTGCAGGGGGGAGGACATCATCTGCTGCTTTGTTCACTTTAAACGACAGCACACCCTTTTCTGAAGTGATCAGCTTGTTCTCTCCGCAGTGTGTGTTTGTGAGTGTGTGGTATTATGTTTACAACCTGCTGAGGGTGAGTTTTACGAGAGGTGACTCCTCTGGCACTGCAGCCAAAGCCAAAGTTCAACTAGACCTCTTGCAAACCCACACTCTTATTTTTATCCTCTTATTTACTTTTTTTCTCTCTCTCACTCACACTTCAAATGTCACTTTACTCTCCTCTCAGAGCTTATACATCTCTTCATATCAATCATTCAATATCAATCCAAGTCCAAGTTCTCAGGAGACACACACACACACACACACACACACACGTACATATACATACACACACACACACACACACACACACACACACACACATACACACACACACACACACACACACACACACACACACACACAGGGCTTCTGTTAACCTGAGAGGCAGAGGGTCAATCCCTGTGATCCACAGCCTGCATGCCTTCCATACAGACACGCCGCCGACACAGCAACCTGACTCCCAGCTAGATTAGGACTAATCAAGCATGGCACAGCTCCGGGCAGCAACACCATGACACACACATGCAGACACACACATACAGTACAAACGTGTGCACACCGCCAGCATTTGCTGTTTAAAATTCCCTACAACTTCTCCTACAAGTCATGACTACTATAACATAATATATTTACATTTTAATGACTGTGTATTGATGTTTGCTTCCACAAGACGTCTGTGTTAATTGTAGATCTAATGGATCCCAAAACAATCATTCTTTATCCATGAGATAATATCATGGTCACCAGTAGGACAGGAGATTGGTGTGTCACAACTGTGCCAGCACAGATTCTAAATACATACAGAAAATACACTTAATTTGGGCATTAGAACAAGTAAGAGGGTCTTGACGCAGCAAAAGTCTGTTAAATTGTAAATAAAATAAATGTCGAACAATGTCATGATTCATGGGACAGTAGTATCTGACTACTGGCAACTTGTGAGTATTGATTCTTCTAAATGTTGGGAAGCTTGTATGAGGTAGCTTGCATGCGGTCGCATAGATCATTTTCATTACATTGAAATCCTTGTTGCTTTGTGAAAACATGAAAAAGTATTTGCATTATTGAAGGCCTGTGATGGTTTTGTTAGCTTGAGAAACATATTAGCTCCTCCTTGGTTTTCCAAAACCACTGGAAACTAAAAAACAATGTGTGTTTTCTTAAAAAAATTTCACATGATGTAGTATGCAACAAAGAATTTAAATAACATTGCTGTATTGTCTTTACAGACAGCTGGCACAAACTCAGTGTGAGTGTGGAAACGGTGCAGAACAAGTGCTGTCACGTGTCCAGAAACTGACTTTTCCTGGAAAAGGTTTCCCACCAGCCCCAGGTGTCGACCAGTCAACTGGTCCAGTCTTTGGTCACAAATGTCTTGGACGTCTCAGGCCTTCCTCAGCTTTGTAGTCTGAACCTCATTTTGTCTTTGTAGTCGTCAAGCGGTACTTTACTTTGGCAGCCACCATGTTAGAGGCGACAGGTGATTTATGACGCAGAGGCCAATGGTGTGATCACACCATTTTCTTTCAGTTTTGTTCTGGATGTTGTTATGGCGTCCATGCACAGTGTGCAAGTCTATTAGTAGTGGAGGGCTGGAGTCGGGGTCCAGGATTAGCGATCAAAAGAGTGAGGGAGGGGGTTTTGGGGTAAAAGGTTGGGGGGTAACACAAGCCCGGCCTTCCCAGGTGGCGTCGTTGAAAAGAGACTCCCATCTGTGGCGTGGATGGGTCGAACATGGGCTGTGTGTGTGTGTGTGTGTTGGCTTCCAACGTTTGTGTGTGTGTGTGTGTGTGTGTGTGTGTGTGTGTGTGTGTGTGTGTGAATGACTTTTATGGGGCGTACACTTCGGGTGAACTCTGTCTAGTTGGATTTGAACCGTGACCGATTGGATTTCAGGCTCGGGGAGGTGACCCCTGACCTTTTTACAACATCTGCACCCCTGACTTTTCCTCTACACATTTTAACTTCACGTTATACTCCCTGTGCCACCCAGTCCATCTGCCTGTACAAATACAGGCAACACAACTGTATCACCTTTGCCTGTTCTACAGCTTTTGGGATCTGAGAGTAGTAAACACCTCAAGTAAAGGTTAGGAACGGATCAGTTTTCACTTAAATTTACTTTACTTCTCAAGGTTGATTGGCTCAGTATATAAATACTGCTGTCTAGGGAGTCCTGGATACATATATTTATATATTAGACATACAGATCAGTCAGTACAATCTGTTGATAAAGTGTTCTGGTGTCCAGATTTCACTTCAAATTAACTTAAATAATAAATAACTGTAAATAATTATGTACTGATTATTGCTGTTTTCTCAGCAGCTGTTTCCAAGTCATAAATAAACCTCAACTATAAAAGCATCAACAAAAAAAGATAAATTGTGGACCTGGGTGACTTCATCGGCTGTTGAAAATAATGTGATATGACTGAAAACTCTTGTGGTTCATTATTGTAACACATACAATATGTACAGTATACAATATATAATATGTAAGTGTAATTGGGTTTTAAAACAGCGATTAAAGGCTGACTGATCTCTGAGAATCAATGTAACATAAGGAAGAAGTGCGGAGTGAGTTTGTATCGTCTGACAACAAATGCTACTGCACTAATAAAAAAATGCTTTTATTTAAATGTGTTTAACACTGAAAATGTTACAACTGTGGTTTCAGAAGTGAAAAATAGCATATCTTTTTTAATTTAATTTAATTGTTTTGCACAAAGTGTTTGAATTTCCCGCGAGCCGGGACACTGATGGTGGTCTCACATATGGGTGGTCTCCTCTTCAGCGTCTGTGTCATGTGGCAGAGAGGTCTGGGCTTCAGGGAGGTTGTTGCACTGCAGGTAGCAGAAAACCACTTGGACCTGAAACACAGTAGATCATTGTGACATTTTAAATCTCACACTTAACAATCCCTCTTTGCCTTAATAAAAACTCCTTCAAAAGCCAAACTTATTCTGCAGTAAAGTAAATTATTATACATTTTTTCATTATAATATATTGCACATTACATGAACAGTTATCCATTAGTTTAAAAAAGGGAAGACTATTTCTCATACAGACGACATCAAAAGCATTATCATATTAAAGACATTTACTTTAAGAATTTACATTTACATTTAATAGTTTTCCTTACATTTCCATTTTCCAAATAGTTAGTAGGTTAAAGCAGAAGCTTAATTTAACAGAATAAATCTGTCATAACTAAAGAGTTTTGTTCCAAAATTAAATATTATTTGTGAATTATTTATTTATGTTGAGGGCTATAGCTACCTGTAAGGACATAGTCATGTAATAAGTTTTTAGTCAACAAATAACAATTGTATATTTCTCAACCTTCTTCATCTTCGATCTTCATGTTGCATAAACAAACATCACCTTTAACTGAATAAATAAAATATAAAACTGCAAAATGTTTAATCGGACATTTCTCATGATCTCAGTTTTTTCTAAACCTCTGTTTAAAAATAAAATTTCATCCTCACAAATGCAACTGTTTCAATAATAAATGTTAAACTGTAGCACAAAAAACACAATCAGTATGCAGCACTTTTGGCTGCTTTATTCCCACCTGTACCACCACCTCCTGGGAAATATCCACAGTGGGCCCGTTGTACCCCAGTCCAACCACAGGGGGGCGTAAGAGGCTCGGACCAAACACTGTAGCCAGGTTCATTAGAGACATCTTGTTGATTTCTTGCTTCTCTGAGACTCTGGGGAAAAAATATTTAAAAGAAATATGAGGTGTAGTCAACAGGAAGCAGCATCACATACTCTAAAAACACCCAGAGTCAGGGGGATTTGATCTGTAATCCAGCTACATAACCTCCACTGATTTATTTTTCCTGCTATAAAGGCCAACTGGGTGGGATTTTTCCAAAAACTAAATCATTTCCTGACATATATCAGGACTTGTTATGTTGTGAGCTGGTTGCAATCAGACCGTTGCAGGTGGTGCAGTATGTACAGGAAGGTGTGCCGGTTGGAGTCGGGACAGGATTGCAGCAGGGACAACATTGAGGCATGCCGGGAGTTTATGTCCTGGATGTCTACAAGGGAGAGAAAAACACATACACGAGACGCTCAGATCACTTTTAAGTTCAGTTCACTTTGCTGAGAGGCCATTTCAAGACTAAAAGGGCTTGAATTTAAGGTTAAGCTTATAAAATAACACCAGAGTCAGTTAGAGCTGTTTTACTGTAAAGACAAGCTGAAAATTAACTACTGTTCATATCATTAAAATCATCAGTAGGAAGCAGAGTGTAAA